AAAGTACGAATAAAACCACCTACTCTGTACTTACTGAGAGCTGAACTCACAGCATCACAGAATGGTTTGGGGTGGAAAGGACCTCTAGAGATCACCTAGTCCAACCCCCTGCCATGGGCACGGACATCTTTCACTAGATCAGGCTGCTCAAAGCCCCCTCCAGCCTGGCCTTGAACACTTCTCCAGTATACTGTCTGCTCATGCCTGAGATCAAAGCTATACACACCGTAGTTCCTCCTTACCTTTCCATTTCTCTGCTACTCAAGAAAATATCTTCCAATGAAACATGGCTAATCAAGCCAAAACATCACTGAATCCAACCAAGTATCAGGAATAAGCAAAAAATTTAAACCTAATCTGCATTTCACTTAGGGACACCCTGTCCTCAGCTCAGCTCTGCCAGAGGCAGGCATGGCTTCGTAAACAGAAATGGTCTTTTCACAAATCTAAAACCTTGCTGTAGTGCCACCTTTAATGCCCTCTGGCACTGTCACACTTCCTCTGCTCATCCGCCTTCCACAGCGCCCAGAGATCCGACTGGCAGCCACCGTGCCCTTCCACTTGTGCTGGTCTGCCATTGGATCCAAACCTAAAACGCAAATGTGCCGGGAGCAAGGGAAGGGGGTCACCACACCCTGGTCTGCCACTGGATCCCAACCTAAAACACAAATGTGCCAGGAGCAAGGGAAGGGGGTCACCACACCCTGCAACGGCAGTGACGGTTCAGCCTGTCTCCCCTCCGTCCGGAGGGAGAAGATGCTTTACGGCCTCACACCAGCCATCCCTGTGCATTTCTCCAGTCTGACACCCCTGGATTTCCATCAGGAAGCAGGAATTCGTCCAGGACCTCGCCCATCAAGCCTGAACTGGAACGGCTCATCTACTTTCCTAACATTTGTGGGGTTTATGTGCAACAAACCCTATTTCAGCTGCTTCACCCTACCTAAGGGCACGCCCAAGATGGGGACAGAGGGGTGCCTTGTACACCAGCCCTCCTAACACACGCTCCTCTCTGCGCTCCGTTGGACAACTCCGAGTTCAAAACAGCTCTCAGAGAAAAAGCTTCGTTGACACGGTGTCAGCATCGATGCTGACATCCCAGCTCGGGTCCCACAAAACCACGGCTTGAGCATCACGTACAGGACAGGACCAACCCAGCCTGTGAAATCGCTCTCCTGACCACGTGGTTGCTGCAATTTGAGGAGGATTCAGGGGATTTAGCGCAAATTCTGGCGTCGAGGCCGCATGCATCAGGAGGAAGAGGTACCTGTACTGATCCTCCGTGCCGATCTGCAGCCAGGTGAGATGTCAGGTACGAGGTATTCGTCTGCCGGCTTGGCTGGATCTCCCACTCCCCTCGGCGATCCGATGACGCCTGCTCACGAGTTCAGAGGCACGAGAGAGAGAGAAGAGAGGGCGAAAGGTGAACGAGGGGAAGAAACAAAAGGGCGTTTGTTAGTGAGTTAGTTTCTTTGCAAAAAGCAAGGCATTTAAACTTTCAGCTGGGCTAAAGTTGCTCTTTACCCAGAGCACCTCGTGCTTTACTTCAGCGGCGCCTGCAGCCATCCACTGCAGGAGTGGATGTCTTCTCCTCCAGCTGCTGAACAGAGAGAAAGCTTGGATCTACTCAGGAAGCTGCTTCTTTACACGGCTTCGTTTCCACGGCTTTCAGCACAGAAACAAACACGCTGTCAGTACGTTTAATCACATCGGGCAGGTCACACACACCAGAGCACTCGGCACGGCAGCGAGACCGGATACGCAAGCTCGTCCTCCCTAAAACACGTACTTTTAAACTCAAATTTGCAACGTAAAACAAAGCCACGCTTTATTTCACCAAAAGCCAGTTCCACACACTGATTCACCTGTACGGTGCAGAAGGAAACATCCACCACACCTGCGTGACTGGAGAGAGGGAGTTGGTGGCTTTGGTTTTCTGCAGAAAAGTAGATAAGACACCTTCGCTAATGGTTTCCTCCTTATCCCCAACGGATGCAAGCTTTAGACAATTAAATCACTAGAATTTTATTTGTTTTATTAGAAGAACCACTTTGCACTTGCATGTGAAGCTCCTCACAGGTCACCCGACTTTGATAACAACACATCCAGCGTTCACCTAATACCCAGGAAGATCTCAGCGCACCTAAACCCAACGGATCAGCTGGAAGGACGCCTCCTAAGGCCAGGAAGCGTAGGACGCACAGGTAGATCCGTGTTGGCCTCAGGTCAACAGCAGAGGACATAGTCAAGGATGAAGTGATTGATGGGATACATTTCAAAGGTGTCTCCCCAAACGCAGTATAAAAATTTAAGCAAAAGATTCAAAGCTGAAGCACAAATTTGAGAGAAGAGAGGGCAGAGGAGCAGAGTCCCCCCAGCACACCTGGCAGGAGGGATGCTGGACAGAGACACCATGGACCCAGCCAGCAAACAAGAGGCTGAATAAAGACCAGTGGAGCTGAAGTGGTGAACCAAAAAGAGGTGCCCAGGCCCTGCCTCTCCCCAGCACTACTTTGTGTTACTCCCTCGAGCCCTGGTCTGAGCAACAGTGAAGCCACAGGGCTCAGTGCCACTGTAAAAAAAAAGAAAAAAAGAAAAGGAAAAAAGAAAAAAAACCTGCAAGCAGCTCCACACAGAGAAGGCTCCAGAAACTTTGAATAAACTTCACCACCAACCAGTAAACTGTCACTCGGTGAGAAGGGAAGCGATGCAAAGGGATGCAGAATGAAACCCGGTGTTGTGTAAAACATTTGCTCTCGTTCCCTTTGCACAGGACCTCTGATTTCCTCCCGGAGTGGCCCACAGCGCTGCTCCTCCTTCCAAGCAGTCACCAAACCCAGTTCTTCGGTAGTGTTTCCCTAGAGGTGGGTTTTGTCTAGGCTTGTCCTATTAAATGTTCTTATTCCATGTTCTTCCCATCAGCCTGAGATGCTGCTTACCCTTTTTATACTTAGTGACTTTCAAAGGAGAAGCACTTCCCTTGGAATATTTTTTTTAATGGCTGCACGTCACAAGAGAATGAACAACTGGAGAACTGAAATGCAAGTTTTAAAATCATAGAATCCTAGAATGGTTTGGGTTGGAAGGGACCTCAAAGACCATCCAGTTCCAACCCCCCTGCCATGGGCAGGGACACCTTCCACTACACCAGGTTGCCCAAAGCCCCATCCAACCTGGCCTTGAACACTTCCAGGGATGGGGCAGCCACAGCTTCTCTGGGCAACCTGTTCCAGTGCCTCACCACCCTCTCAGTGAAGAAAAGCTAGTGGAAGACAGATCTCGAGTGCTGCTTCTTCCAAAGCACTATGCCATCAGGTCACGTGGCTAGCCCCGGCGAGGAAGTCGTTCCACGCTACACCAGTGCCAGGAGAAGCACCCTTCTGCCTAGGAGCCTGGAAGCAGTTTCTAGGAAAGGCTCTAGAAGCTGCAAGAGCCACGTTCTCCTCTTGTAGCTCTACAGCCAAATAAGTGATAAACTGGTTCTGAAGTAGGTTTGAGCTGAGCCGCCCAAAACGCAGCCGGAGCAGTGACACTGAGGAAGCGCCGTCCGGGAAATCTGAGAGCATCCAGTTCCTGGCAACGCTCCTCGCCTTCCTACCCGCTGCCAAACTGCAAGACAAGACTGGCACCTCGAGGCAGAGGGGGCAGGGCTCACCCATCTCTGATGGACAGTAAGTATCTGCATTTCCTCGAGGAAAAGGCTACAAAAAGGAGATCGCACTCTCGTTGGCATCTTTACTGGGAAACCAAATATTAGAAAAGAGAATCTGCAGTTGTGATACCCGGGAACAAAACCACGGCAGTTACATCTGGAGTCACTTGACCCAGACCCACACCTCCAATTCACTGCTCCAGACGTTCGTTTTTTCCACTTTTCCCTTTCGAGAAATCATTTGCTCAACACTTGAAAGGAACTCCCCTTGGAAGAAAGTTGTTCGTGCTTTGGTGAGAAGATACTGATTTTCCCTACGTATCAGGAACATTAAATTATTCAGCATCCTAAGTAACGGTCAGGTTTAAAAAAAATCAAAAAAAAAAGACAAAAGCTGCCACGCAATGCAGCGTCAAGACTATCTGAGAGGCTCAGAACAAGGATGAAGGCTGCCTGCGTAATATTTTAGGAACGGGACAGACTTCTTTGGGCTGCTTGCTGTGATTTGTGAACTAACATGCTTGAAAATGAAGCCAGCATCACTGTCTGTTAAAGGAAACACGACGCCTTGTACGTACATGGTGTGGTCAAAGTGGACAGCTGGAGACCGCCGCCCCAAAAAGGGGGGTTAATGCATTAATCGGGCAATATATTAAAGCAGATTGTTTTACTAGCACTTACAAACCAGTCCTAACCAGCATGCACAAATACAGTGCTGCACACGTGCTTCCAACAATCCAGCTTCCTACAAGCGGCACTGCTAAGGAGGGGGATTCATCCTGATGGTAGCTGATGGCTTGAGGTGTGTTCTAGTCTACATGAGCAGCTCTACCGCTCCGAGCCCAGCTGCGTGGAGCAAGGAAAGCTGAGTCCAGGCAGGTTATTACACCTCACACTCGATTCTGCACCCACGAACCCCAGCTTGCTGGAGCAGAGATGGCAGACGAGGCGCCAGAATGGCCCACGGCGGTTAGAGGAGCAGAGCGAGCCCAGAACCACTCACTGGGAAGTAAGAGCACCATCAGCTCTAGAGGAGCTGGCAGTTGGACATCTACTGAACTTCTGATCAGTTCTGTTAATACAGAAAATCCAAACTCTCAACATCAACAAAATATGGGAAAAATGGGGAAATTCAAATCAAGAAACTGGCAGTTCATCTGGACCATGACGCCCAGCCTCCCCCAGGGACCCTTCCCTGGCAGTCCTTTGTGCTCTGCAACACTCATGCCGTGGACACCCTGAGAAGGACATATTGCACGTACACAGGACACGCACACCCTTATCCCGGCCGCACGGTCCATGGGAAGAGAGCACCTCGGGGCAGGCTGCCATTGGCACAACTCTTGGTCTACTCCACAGTCCATGTGCTACGAGTAAAAAGGACCCAAAAGAACATTGCTGGCCAGGTAGGTCAGATAGTCTGACCAGGCTGGATAGCTGAGTCAAACAGCTTACCCACAAACTACGGAAAAACGACCCATTCCAAATTGTACCCCACTTGGTTCACAATCCTGAGGAATTCCACTGGTCAATACAGTATTTCGGCAATCTGTTGCTTTGACAAAATTCTGCTCAAACCACAATCTCTAAATTAAGCAAGAATCGTGTTTGCAGTGACCAAGGCAAGAGTCAGCCCCAGCCACCTCTAGTGGCTTCTGCCCCTCCGGCCCAAGAGGAATTCAGAGCGGTGCCGAACGACGCGGCGCAGCCGACGCGGTTGGGAGCAACGCACCTGATTGCGAAGGGCCTGTTGCGACGGCCGATCCCGATGGACGTGGCTGTCTCTTGTTACTGCAGACGTCCCGGAATCCACGTGAACAGATCCCACTGGAGTAGGCTGGAAAACAAAGCGTCCGTGAGGATGAAGCCAATGCTGAAGATGGCTGAAGATGCATGCACAAACCTGACGTGTCGGGTTGGCTCCTACTGGGTAGGAGAACTCGAGAAAACATCAAAACGCTGCCCAAAGGGACTGACTAACCAAGAAAAATTACAGCCAGGGCTATAAAATCCCCGGGATTTGACGGCTTGCTGGACACCAGCACCAAATGTCTTGTATAAAACCAGATTAAAAAGATTTAGGGAAGTGTCTGGAGCGGGGTCAGATCACACCCGATGTGTCTCACGTAGGATTAATTCCACTGAAAATACACAGACTTGTTTTCCTCATCTCATTGTCTTGCTGCTTTTAAAAACCACGCTCGCGTAGAAACAGGATGTGTTAAAATTAAAGCTTCATCTGCTCTATTCTCACCAAAGTCATCATCCCTGCTCACCACACCAGAATCTCCATGGCAACCACCGCAGTTGTCAGCAATCGCACGCTCGTCTTACAAGGAGCTTTTTTATCAATCGCCTTCGTAATTAAGCAAAAATGAGGAGAAAAATCATGATTCGCAAGGGAATGATTTCTTAAGAAGACGAACTGGTTTGGGGACAGCAAACACTGGTGACACTAAGTACAATCAGGACAGCAAATCGCTGGCAAGGGTGCCAAGTGTAGCACTGGAGGCTTTGGCCTTGGCACCAGAGACAATTAATTTAGAGGTGCCTTTGCCGTTGCCGGGTGCGGTGAGTGGCCGTTGGCACGAGGACTATCAGCGGAACGACGCAGAACGCAAGCGACAGGCTGCACCACGGACAGGCAGTGAGCAGAAGAGCTTTAGACTTTTCTATCCCGTTTCCCCACGACACATCTTTTGGCCAAGGTCTTCTTGAGTATCAACGGCTTTTGACAACAGAAGTGACATGAGATCACAGTTGTGGTCCATCTGGTGTCACGGAACTGCTATGGAGCTTGGTTAATCCCACATTTCCTTGCCGTGTGCTATGAAGAGCTGGTTCAGCCTCCGGAACAGGGTAAATCCTAATGTCTTCCGAGCTCAGAACTTGTTTGCTGTTTGCTCACTGAGCATCCACCAGAGCCCTGCCTAGATCTCCTGCCCTTCTTGATGAGAACTCAACCGTTATAGAGGTCTTCCATCATTCAGTGCTGAGGGAGGAAGCACGCTGTCCTGCTTCAAGATGGATGTCTTTAGACATTGGTCTCAAATCCCATGCTAGACTGGAGGAAATTAAGTCTAGTCATGTTCACTGCCACAAATGGGAAAATCAGGTTTGAATGCCCCACCAGGGCAAGCCCCAAGAGGTGGGAAGGAGCCTTCTGACCCTTAGGGGAAGTTCAAGGCACTGCAAGAACCCCCTGAACACAACGTCAGGACATCTCGCTACGTTGAGCCCACGTTAGCTAGAGAACAGAAGTGAAACATTTGATCTGGAGCTCACTGGCATTAACTGGGATTATCAGGAGCAAAGGGCCAGGTGGTGGGGAAGCAGCACCTGGAAGGCAAAGCGCTGCATTTTGCAAGGACGACTTACGATTGGCCTGCCGACCCAGTCGTAGGCGTAGTCAAAGGTGTAGCCTTTCTTCTCGAACAGCTCTGTGAAGATGGTTCGTAAATAATCGTAGTCCGGTCTCTCGAAGAAGTCTAACCGCCGAACGTAACGGAGGTACGTGGCCATCTCCTCTGTTGGAACAGGGGGAAAAAGCAGCAGCGTCAGTTCTGCTCACACGTGAGCTCCATCACTTAAAGCCTCTCAAAGCCGACACATGCACTGGAGGCACGCGTCTCACTTAACTCCAAGGAGGCCTTCCCACGGCACTAGGCTCAAAGTCAGACCGAGGGCCAGACCCCAGAGCCATGAGCTGTCCCAGCTCCACTAAGTTCACCTGAGCCACGTGGATTCACAGAAGCTGAGGATATCCAACAAGTCTTCACCCTCCGTGACCTACCCAACAGTCTTTTATTGCTCGATGAATCTCGCTCAGCTCTCCAGAGCCCTCCCGCCCTGCCCAAAGTCTAGACATTTATTCCCAATTTTCTGAATGAGTTGCTGCAAACCAAGGTCTGTGTTTCGGCACCGAGCATCACGCTGCGAGAGAACTGTCTGGGCTGCCAGTGCTACCTCTGGCTCTCCTGATAAAAGTAGTGGGTTCTAGTAACACCCCACAACGAAAATCAATTCAAAGACTTCTCGAGCAAAGAGGGAAGCCCCACTTCTGCTCCACCTCCCATCTGAGTCCCACAGCTAGTTTTATTCTCTGCATTTGTACAAAACCAAACACTGAACCTGCCAACAGGATGCTGGTGTGTACGTCTGCTCACGCAGACATTTAAAACCACCACAGCGATTTCACCTGGAGAAAGAATGCAGGAGATGTCGGTGGGCACCCCGTGGCACCCCTGAGCTCCAGCAACAACTAGAGCCTGGCTTCCCAGAGCACCGTGCTGCCCCACGCCACTACCTCCACCACAGCCTTGAATATTCCAAACAAGACTTCGAAGGGGAGGCTCCAACATTAACTCATCTGGCAGCTTTCATGTCACGTGGAGGTAAAAGGAAAAAAAAAAGGAGAAGGAAGGTAATTCCCTCTTCCTGCTGGTGTCTCTGAAAGGTGGAGGACCAACAGGTTTCAGGCCAGCAAAGTACAGAAATAGGTTCTCTCATCTCTCTTCATCCCAGACCTGCTGCGACTGAGCTCTGAGGATGGAGTATTGGAGAAGAAGATGAGAACAGCCAACCTGAAGCTGTTCTGCTTGGAACAAGGTGGATTTTGGATGCAAACGCATCTGGGGAATTAGCACGACTTCACTGAACAAGGATCCCTTTCCAGGCTTCCTGCTCCTCATGCTGGGAAAGAGCCATGTGACACAACAGCTCCTACAGGCACAGGGCTGATTGTGGGGACCTGAGTACTCTCTCCCTGGTGTCAGGATTTAAAAAAACCACCAAAAACCCCCATCCTGTGAAGGCCACAGGGTACGTGGGGAGGGCTTTGACTCCGTACTCTGCTCTCCTAGCTCCAAGGTGGACTAGAAGCTCCAAGGTGCTAGAAGCACATCTCGAAAAACTGTTGAAGCTGTCCTTAAAACTGTTGTCAGAAGGTGGAATTCAAGGACAGACACATCATCCCATCTTCTAAGCTGGCCCAACTAAAATCTTAACACCTGTAAAACCTTCCGGTTGGAAAAGAATTAACTCAAGTAGATCCAACATGGTCACTTGGGAGAGGGAAAATAATGAGGTCCGCTTTTGGAGGGAAGCCAAGAAGCAAAGCAGAAAACACCAGGCACTTGAGCACTGTGTGGCCTCCTCGATGAGAAGACTTTTGCTTATTTTAAGCCACAGCCACAAGCTCTCGGGCCCCACTGTTTCACAGCAGCAGCTCCAGTTGTCTGCCAGCTTGAGGAACAACACAACGGACACACATCATCCCCACACTGTCTGCCAGAGGAGCTCAGAACCATTGTATGTAACAAGGTACGCCCAGCTGCACCCAAACGGTCCCATCGGGGCTTTACCTGGAAAGTTCTCACAGAGAACTTCAACCGGAGTGTTTCTCTTTGTGTCCCCAATCTTCTGATACCTCTCTTTCAAGGTGTCAGCCTGCAGCGCACAGAGACAAAACAGTTGAGGAGAAAGAGTTCAACCACGAGACAAACGACACGCTGTATGGGAAGAAAACCAAGGTGTTTAATACCCATCCTGGCTGGTACCAGAAGATGCTGTAGCCCCCCTCAGGGCGGCCTACAAGAAAGATGGGGAGAGGCTGTTCAGGAGGGCCTGTTGTGATAGGACAAGGGGTAATGGTTTTAAAATAGAGGGAGGTAGATTCAGGTTGGATATTAGGAAAAAATTTTTTACCATGAGAGTTGTAGAACACTGGAACAGGTTGCCCAGAGAGGTGGTGGATGCTCCATCCCTGGAGACGTTCAAGGCCAGGTTGGACGAGGCCCTGAGCAACCTGATCTAGTTGGAGATATCCCTGTTCCTTGCAGGGGGGTTGGACTAGATGACCTTTGAAGGTCCCTTCCAGCCCTAACCATTCTATGACTCTATGCTACTTGTAACTGAACTGCACCCTGGACTACACCGGCAGGAACACCGTCCGACCCGGTTGTAACTCTCCTGTCACGCATTTTACGCGCTATCGGCAAAGATTATCCTGGGACACATTCAAAACGCCTTCAGTACTTGCAGGGAAGGACTTGTCAGTGTCTTACAAGGATAATTCCTCACCAGCCCAGTCCTGAGGACCGTATAGGGAAGCTTTCACGGGACAAGAAAACAAAGCTGATTGCACACCAGTATCCTGTCCTGGGCTTAGAGCCATCGGCAACCAAGATGCCTTCATAAATAACGGTAAAAGCAGATAAATCGCAATGGCATTTGGGTTTTGCTGCGTGTAACAGAATGCCACCACACAGATAACTAGTTTACATCAGTCACACTTCCCTCAAATCCCATGCTACTCCCAAACCACCTCTCCTTTTCCCCCCAGGCTGTCCATCACTTCAACAGCACTGATTAAACATCTGGTCATCAAGAAAATGAAACCATTTTCAGTTAGATCTCCCACCTAAATCCCCCCTGAAGCAGAGAACTCGCCTCCAGTTGCCACCCCAAGAACGGGTTTTATTGCCTCCATTTCAAAATATGCCAATTAGACCTGGCAGCAGCATAATTAGCATCATAAAACGTTCTCTCAAGATGTTCGCACTGACAGCACAGACGACAAGTGTGAGCTGAGGAGACCTAGGAGAGTGAAGATGCCATACCCTAGGTCAAGCTGGAGACTCTGTGTTTGTTCTGGCGCTAAAGAAACGCAGGACTTTGAGAAGGAGTCAACTCGTTCTTACCAAGTTCAGCACTGAACTGAGGAAATTTTGCAGAATCTTGTCTAAAGCTAGAATTATTTTAGAATAATTTACAGGATTAATTTAAAGCAGATGAGTTCCACTAAGCCAGAAACAAAATATGTAATGGAATAACACACACAGAGGTGTGAACTTAAAGTCGGAGAGATTCTGATTTCTTTCACCATCACTTTCATGCTTGAAAAACCCTTTCTTTGCTTTTATGAGACGCTGCCAATGTTGCGGGCACATGAGGCTAAGCTGAGTCTAACCCTGGCTAGATGGTGACAAAACAGCTTAACAAGGTCTATCACACAAGCCACTGCCCATAGCAACACTCTGCTGAGCAGCTGGCGAGCCCAAAAGCTCGTCTCCTTTTTCCAACAGTACTACCAGGAGTTACTGTCTTCATTAATAAACCTTCTCCTACACCTTGATCAAATTCAATCCCTTCACTCACTGCAATTCCAAAGTTGAACACAGCAGCGTAACCATCAGGAAAGCAGGGGGGTTGGAACTAGATGATCTCTAAGGTCCTTTCCAGCCCAAACCATTCCATGATGGGAATCAGGGGGCCTTGAGGCCCTGAGCAACCTGATCTAGTTGGAGATATCCCTGTTCCTTGCAGGGGGGTTGGACTAGATGACCTTTGAAGGTCCCTTCCAGCCCTAACCATTCTATGATTCTATGATTCTACGATTCTATGATTCCGTGAAAGCAACGGAGAAGTGAAGGTGCAACCACCAACGGCTTCAGAGCCAGCACACAACTTGCTACTCGTTAATTCAGCTGACGGACGTTAGCTGCAGTTGCCATAACTCAGTTGCTCCCAGCCCTCCACATCGGACATGACATTTCATAAACTTCTAAGCACCAAGTGTCCAGTGCCTCTGGAGGGGAGCCAAGCTCAATCCTTGTGCCAGAAAACCAGTTTTTCAAGCTGAAGCCCATCTGCACGTCTAAAACCATCGAATCGCTGCCGTTCTAAACACGTTTCACAGATGCAGCTGGGTGACTGTGTGCCACAACCAGTCTGCTCCAGTCGCACTCCAGCTCAGGGCAGCTTCACGTTCCAGCAAAGCTGCTCCAGCAGCTGGATGGCCTTCTCATCAACTTCCCTGTCCC